TGTTAAGGGAACACTAAACAATAATTGGGGAAGGAGAATAACAGGAGTGAGGAAGATGAAAGTTGCTGGGGAAAATGAAGCACAAGAAACTGAAACAGTAGGAGGAGGTAAAGCTAAAGAAAAAAAAACCCCAAAGCAGTAACTAAGTTAATTTCATAAAAGTGAACATTTCTTTTAATCAGTTTTAWCTGTGATATTTCACTTAAAACCGTCCAACTGAAACTATGTAAAAAGATTACTGGAAACTGTTCAATRTGTTATAAATGTGTTCTTAAAACTCTAGGCTAGCTACATTATAGGTTAATTCCATTTGTCTGACCTATGCCATATTTTTGAAAAGGTATGAATAAGGCACTGATTTAAATGTTATAGTAGTTAAAAGCCAGGAAAATTGTAAASCCAGCATTTTATAGTATGTGAAAGATGAAGGGAGGAGCCAGTGCAGGAGTAGCTCAGAACCAGGATTAAGAAAACAGAAGAAATAACAGGGAGCTGATAATCAGGGATCCTAATGAGGATGCAGAGCTTAAACCAAGCCTAAAACTTCTCTTAAACACAATCATAACAGGCATTCTGTTAACAGGAAATGCACATGACATGCAAAGTGAAAAAGAAGGAAATATTGACATTGGAAATCAAATCTCAGAATATACTGTTCACTGGAATTCTGTGTTCCACTTTAAGCACAACTGGAAAGGTAAAAAAAAAAAAGCCAATTCTTCTTTCCATGCAAAACTGTATTTTAGAAATTCTTGAAAGGCGGATGAGAGAAGGAAGCTGGAAAGCTGAATGACAAAAGCCTGTTTAAATTCTCTGTGTCCTTTTTCCTGGATTTGGCTTTAAATGTTGCAGTCTATGGTGGCAGTGAGACCATTGGGGTCATCACACCATGCATCATTGTAAGGAGAAGAATTAATCCTCTTACCACATGAGGTATTTCAATAAAACCTAGAAATACAATGTTTCATATGGTTAGACCTAATTTTACAGTCAGTGGGGGTTTTGGTCGGGTGAGGAATGAAAGATCAGATATAGGATCATTTATGTCTGAAAAAGTGAAATGATGTCAAATGCAGCAATATAGGGAAAAATGGATAACAGGTGTGTGAATTAAGCAGGGCAGACAGTGTACAAGTGTTAAAAAACCCAAAAGTTTTCTYTGTCTCAGAATTATGCAATAGTGTGAACTGTAACAAATTTAAGGATTACAGCAATTTCTCCAGTCACAGTTTTTTTTCTGGTTGCACAGAGCTGATGGTTTTCATAGGGATTTCAACTCTTGATTGGGTAGAGGGAAATACAGAAAGTCCCTTCCCTCTTTCCTTCTGTTCTGCCTTGCCTCTGTTGGGTTTGGGAAGGGATTAGGGTGTGTTTGGAGTGCACCGTGTTGAATTACCCCAGTCCCTAACTAGCTGCTACTGTGCAGTGATGCAGAGGGAAACCAGCCCTGCTTCTGCATCCCTGGACCGTGCCTAATTAGGCAGCTCTGTTTCTCCCAATTTCAGAGCTTATTTGTCTGAAGTTGCATTTCTCAGAGATCAAGCACAGCAAAGCCATAGGGTTACAGTCACATGGGGCAGCATTTAGGTCTGCCTTCCTTAATGAAGGCTAAATAGCTCCTGACAAAGCAAGAAGCTTCAGAAATTGTGAATATGCAGACCTTTGGAACAGCCATCCTCCAGATTTTTGATAACAAGGCACCTGAGGGTTTTTAATTCCCAGTGTACTTCCAATGTGATATTTCCCCAGCACTTTCTTTTAAACTCAAAAATGTGTTCTCCTGAGAAGAGAACAAATCCTTGRGGTCAGAGTCTTTGCAAGCTTCTTTTTAATGAATAAATATGTCTAATCCCTGCAGAGAATGTCCCAGCAGATAATCTCCAAGGAGTTTGTGTGGCATCTCACCTCCTACAGCAGGGGCTGAAGCTTTCTTTTAATCCCTWCACCAGTTGATCTAATCTCCTCAGCCATGGAGTCAGGCATCTGCTGGTTGATGAAATCCCTTAGATATGGTTGTGGGGAAAAAATGAATTCTGTCTTTTGTTTCAGTTACTCACACATCCTGAGTTCACTTGCCATGCTAGGCAAGAGGAATGAGTCAGGTGATTAATTTCCTGTTCTTAATATCTAAGGTCTTGTGTGCATGTAAGTAGGCGATTTCTGAATTAATTGCCAAAATTGTGCTTTWCCAAAAAAACCCCTCCCCATCTAGAACTCTAAGAAAATTGTAATCATTTTAAATCACTTAAATATCTATGCAATTCTACTGGAATTAGACATCTATTTCATTAAAGGCTTGATTGTAAATCCAACTTGAATAAATGGGCTAATTATGTTTTTATGATAATTTAAAGAAATCAGCATTGCTATCAGCTTTGGCAATGAGCAAATGATTTCTGCTGGTCTAATTTTTAGTTTCTTATTTCTGAAATGAAACATTAAGGAATATGAAACAGCTTTATGCTCCTTTTACCAAGAATTATGCTATTACACTAAAAAGAAGAAAACTATTTTGCCCAAAACCATTACCATATGGTTTCTTGGTGCACCATGTGTTTGAGGCATTTCTGGGGGCAAACAAAATTTTGCAAGTGAGTGCAAGCTGAATGAACAAGGTCAGTGGGATTCAAATGACTTTAAATCCCAAATCCACAACACTCTGGGATACAGAATATGCAAGAAGTCCTTGCTGGTGATGCCTGGAATTGCCAAGAGGTTGCAGCTGAGCTGCTCAGGTGTTTTCCATGAAGAGCCTCATTACCTAAGTGGCATCACTTGTGGTGCCTTAATCAGGGGCTGTGGTTTCTCTATAAATGCCTGAAATGGTGTGAGCTCTGCTCCCTGAGATGGTATTTGGAAAGCTGCCTGGGTTTTGTGGTGCTGAACACTGAGGTAACGGGGCAATAATTAATAAATTGCTAGGAAGAAGACAAATTTCTCATTTAAAATATTTTCTGTGACGTGCCAAGAAAAGGGAATGTTACTCATAGATTAACATTAACACAGTCTCTGCTTAAAGATGATTAACTCATAAAAGCAAGTTTGGGCACAGTAGGGATCTCTTCTGGATGCTTTGTAGATACAGAAGGATGGTTTAAGGTGTSTATATWTTTTTTTTTTTCTTCTCAAGACTGCAGGTCTATCTTCTGACTTGATTCTGTCATGCTGCTGAATCAAACTAATACAGTTTTATCTTCAAAAATATTTTCTCCTTTTGATTCTATTGTATAGTTTGATTCTAACTGTATTACCTAGGAACCTGGGTTTAATCTGTCTATCAAAAGATAGCATCGTTTCAGTGTATTGGAAGCTTTTTTCTTTTCTTCTCCAGGTACAAGTCCTTAGTTACTCTGAATGKGATAGTTTGTGACCTCCTGCTTGTGTACCTTTAAACCCCTCTTGAAGTCATTAGTTTAGCATTGGGATTAGGCTAAACAGAACAAGATGCTTAAGAAATAAAATAGTGGATACATCTTGTTCTACATAGCTATTTTTTAATTTGTTTTTATCTTATGGCTTGTGGTTSTGTCATTTTTTTTCTGTCCTACTTYTTCTATTCTTATCTGAATTTTTCACCTATCCCTTTTCCTTTCATTCTGCAAATAGATGTCTTGAGATTCATTTAAAATTATTTCCTTCAGTGCCCTTTAAAGCACATTCTTATCTTTCTCATGCATTAGATTCATTAAATTATTTCTGACATCAACATTACCCCTTGATTAAATTACAATCTTGAATTCAATTGGGGGTCATGTATTCTTGGGTGGATGTAAAGCATTATTAGTTTTGTAATGCTACCTTACGTTTCACTTTGCTCACTGCTAAGTATTTTCTTTATTTTAAGAAAGACTTTTGCTTTGGTGCAAATAGTTTTGCAAAATCTTTATTTATATGGTGTTAARAGAAAAGGAGTAGAGACAGTGCCCCTATTTGTTTTATTGCTTATTATCTTTAGGGCTAACCTAGTGATGAATCTCCCTTTTAATCGTTCCAACCAAAGTGTCTTCCCTCATCCTCTGTGAATGAACTGGTTGTACTTGTTATCCTTGAGCTTCGTGCATGTAGTGATGAAAAAAAAACCTCATCAGCTTATTAATTGATACTTAGTGTAGAATGCAGATTCTTCTGTTGCCACTGTACTGATACCAGCTAATTCGACTAAGAATTATTGAAGTCCTTTTTGTGAAAATTACATTGGTTTTCTAAACCAAATCTGTCKTATGAATGGGAAGTTCTTAAATGAGCTGTAGGAAAATTTGGGAAAAGGGATCTTATGAATGTCCTAYTGCAAACTCACTTTTCCTGTTCTTTCATTGTAGGTAACCTTCAAAGCATCAAGATATTCYGTTTCACCAGACTTAAGATTTGTTCTTCTTGCATATGATGTTAAACAGGTAAGCCAACTGTTCCTAATCACAGAGCCTCTAAATCAAAATTCCCCAAACCTTGTTGTTTTGTGTGTTTCATATGCAGTTCCATGTAAAGTAATGTGATTACTTGATTACTTGATCTCTCTTCCCAAAACCTTCTGATTCAATGATGGGGAAGTGTGAATTTAAGTGTGTAKGGAAGTATTGCCTGGTTCTCACATAGGGAAATTGCCATGACTCCTCTGGTTTTTGCAGCAGTTTTCCTAATCCTTAAACTGCTCTGTTACTACCTGTTTATGTGAAATCTTGTCTTTTGATATTCCYTCTGTTTTAAACAGCTGTACTGGTCATTTATGGACTATACCCAAAAACCCCTAGGCTGATTCATGTCTGGGAATTTTAATGTAGGCTTCAGTAGTCTGAAGTGTGATAGTCTGAAARTCTCTATAATGCAGTGTATTCTTTGTTTCTTATATTATTTTTCAATTTTGTAGGCTTTTACACTGTCAAAAAGARTTTTGRTCAATAATACCATGTAGAGCTGTCKAAAATAAATTTTAGAACACAAAAACAATTAAAAAGAAGGTKGTTTTATTAATTTCCCCTATGCATATTGGTGTTTGTCTTATAAAASCTRTTAAAATRTGAGCTGCTCTTAATGAGAGAATAGTTTTGGATTGATGGACTCAGTGGATATTTTTGAACAAGTTTGGGTTGTTTCGTTTGTTCTAACGATGCTGGTATAAAATGATTTGTTTGCTTGGTGTAACATCTGCGTAGGGTTTTCATCTACCAGTCCTGGTGGATTCCATATTAAGCTCCGCTTGAAGTTCCATTTTAATTTKTGTCTGAAAAATACTTGCCCCTTGCTACTTCCCTTCTTGATTGCTTCTTACATTGTGAGAGAGTTTGATAATCCCTCCTACTTTCTTGAATGCCTCATTTGTTTTGTTGAAATTTGGATGGGGTTTTTCATTTGTCTGAGATTTTCTTGGTACTAACATATAGCTGATACAGATAAATAAGGAAAATATGGAAGTATTCCATATTTCATTATATCTAAACATGTTAACAACTGGGATGAATCTCTGCCTGACAATTAAGGTGTCCCATTGTAATGCAAATGGCTCTCAGTGCATGCTGGATCTACCAGATCTTTCTGGTATTTCATTCTTGGTTTTGTTGCAAAAAGAAACTTTTCCGTCCTTTCACAGTCAAGGTGCAATAGAGGAAAGAAGTTTGCAGCAGGTGTATTTTCCATGTAGAGGTTTTCTTTGCTCAGCTGTATTGACAAGAAGCAATTGAAATGAGAGATGAACAGGGTTCAGCAAGTTTGGCAATTWGTGGTGGCAGTCCTGGTGGTTTTGGGTGAGGCTTCCTCATCCAAGTAAGATGGATGTTGTGTACTCCAAGTAAGTTGTCAGTTGAGTTTCTTGCTTGTGACTGCTCCAGCTGATCTCATGGCTTTCAAACCAGAAACAGACTGTGATTGTTGTGTCTTCTGCAAGTGGTGGTGATGGTCTTAAAAGTCAGAATAGCTGAATGTTGTCACTCAGACATAAATAAAACCTTAGGTCCTGAGTATGTTGCTTAAGGTGGACAGAAGAACCAAAAGTCATGTAAGGCAATTTATTCAGAAGATGCAAAAAGTATTACTGTGAGTATCTGGGGGAAAGCCTCTTTTTTTTTCCTCCAAATTTTCTGACTCTTGGGATATTTGTTAGACGTAAGCTGCTTTTGTTTCCTCCAAATCTGTGGGAAAATAGGCATGCAATGCCTTGGAAAGTCTGTGTAGTTCTTCTGTAGTCTGTGTAACTTCTGATTTACATCAAGGGTTAAGTTAGTGTTCATAATTCTTGTGATTTAGGGTTTTGGTTTTTTTCCTCAGAGCCAGACTTACTGCATCTGGAGGAGAGGAAATCCTCCTGTCTACCTTCCCCCCCCAGCTAACTGTGAATTATTAAATTTATTGACTGTAAAATTAAAATCAATACTAAGCCGCAGAACTTAATTGGAGAGTTTCGAATTAGTTTCAGTAGAATCAGGCCAGATTCTTTCTTCATGCCTCTTTTGAGTGTAACTTTTTGTGAAAYTGAGGATTTGCTTATTGTCATGAGTTACAGCACATGGTTGAGTCTAAAAATACCCAATTCAAGGAACAAGTAACTTACAAACATTTAGCTGATGTATCTGCTATAAATTGCCAGATCTCTGGACCTTCCTACCTATATTTGCCCCTTCTTTTCCTTCTTTGCTGTGATTTAGGTGTATAGTTGTCCTGCAGCGTATTTGATGGGATTTCTGCTTTTGAAGGCTGTCAAAACTTCAGGTTTTTTAGAATTCTAATGGTTGTTTGCATACATCAGTCTGTGTTCTTCRTAACATACAGTAATACAGCTGGAACAGATTTATTAATCAACAGTTTTATAAATAAACTAGTGTGTTTCAGCTGAGCAGATTGGAGGAAAATAGAGACAAATGCTTCTTGAAGACATTTTGTCATGAAACTGTAATTAGAGACAAGGTTATTTTGATGTTTGGATTAAAAGTAATTGTTGAGTTAAATTAAATAGTTGAATATTTATTTTACTGTTGTCAGCATTTTCTTTAATCTGTTTTATGCTTGGAATGGCAAACTTTAATTAAATTTGCAGTTGTTTCAGCACAATTAAGAATATCCTCTATGCATAACGAAACATAAATCTGCATGAAAATAAGSCATCTTTGAATACAAAAGTAATAATTGAATGGATCATTTAAATTATGCCTAATACAAGGAAGAAAACCATTTAATGTGGCATAGCAGCTGGTTTGGTATGGCTCTATGAAAATATTATGGAAGAAAACTCTTTTGCTGAGGAATTCAAAGTGTTGTACATTGATTTTTGCCTTTGCCAGAGATCAGTTGTGTGTGCTGTACGTGGTCTTTCTCTCTGTCTCTCACCGTAATTTGGTTGGTGTCACTGAAAAAGGCTCATTTTGCAAGGCAGCAGATCAGTAATAGAAACTAATTTGGGAAATGAGCTCAGACATCCTYGCTGGATGTCAGGCCATCCTGATTATTCTGGGACAGTGGGAACACAGCACCAGGGAAACCATTGTAMCATTGTATGCAGAGAGGGGACAGTTTTGCAGGGCTGTATCTTTYTGATTCTCCTTTGAAGATTGTCAAGGTGTGAGCAAAGAATGGGACACTCTGGGTGACAGAGTATCTGAGCCAGTTGAGATTTCAAGAGGAAAGATTATTTCACTATTGCTTTCAATAAGGACGGTGTTAAAATGATGTTTTAAACTTTTCTCACTCTTCTGGTGGTATAATTCACAACTACCAAAACCTGTTTTATGGTTTTGATAAGAAAAGGGAAATCAGACACGCTGTTCCTGCATTAATGGTAAAGAACAGGGCAGTAAATTTGCAGAAGAGTGAGAATTGAGGTCTTAGGAAATTCTTTTACCATTAGGGAACTTTTGTGTCCCTCAGGATTATACCTTGCAACTTGTCCCTGCATCCACGTGATGTGAAAATGAGCTTTGTTGCAGATATTAGTGAGTTTTTGCTCAGACAGCATGGGCATGTTCTCCCAGTGCTCTTCCTGGAGCATCATGTGCCCCAGAAGAGCAAGTGAAGAAGTAGATGAGGTAATTTCCTCTCTTTCCTCACATTATTAAATCCTTGTGATTTTGTTTTCCCCTTTCTTTCCTTCTCCCTGCTTCAAATCCCATTTGAGTATCAAGTTTCAGGAATTTTTCCTACTTTTTTCTATTAATAAGGCATCGTTTTCTGTTTTCAGTAAAAGATTAATTAGGTGTGAGCTTTTTTAGCTCTTGGTTYGGAAATGTGCTTAAAAACTGATTAAAGTTCAGCTCTAGCTTAGAATTGTAAGCATTTATACATTCTAAAAAAAGGAAATATTTTCCTGAATTCGGACTTCAAACTGTAATCTTTTATAACTAGAGAATTTTAATAAAACAATACATTTAGCTTAAAAGAAATACGTTTTAACTTTTTCTGTGGTAAGATCAGGATGAAGAGTAACCCAATCTTTTTCAGAAAAGGAGAAAAATAATTTCATATCTAAATGTCACACATCCAGTAGAAACAAATCAAAATTTTAATGTATTGAAGTAAAGACAAGAGTCCATCATATTGCTTGGAGCAAAGAAACCCCAAGTTATTTTCTGCTCTCAGCACTTTGCTGCAATAATGTCTATTTCTRGAGGATAATGACAGGGAGTACTGATCATGATCTACAGCAAATGAAGGACATTCTCACCAAGCTTTTAGAGATTGCCTCTAATACTGGCTTTCTGGAGTGCACTGAAAGAATCTCCAGGAGTTTGTCTGCAAATTAGGAGAATCCATGAAGGGATAAGCTTAGTGGAGTCTTAAATTTAGATTATATGTTCTGCATTAGAAGACTGTTTTTCTTCCAAGTAGGTGGGAACTAAATTGTCAGTAAACATCTTGGTCAGTTAAATTAATTAGTAGATTTTTGTTCTGAAAAAGTTAAATTACCTTGCATTATATCTCATTTTTAGTCACAACACCGTTTTCAGTGTGTTCAGATGTTTTCAAGATGGTTTATACGTGGTGCTTATGAAATTCTGGCTGCGAGGAGCATTATCTGCAGTACAAGCTAGGGGTTGAAAACATACATAACCAAGATGAAATGAAATCTGTCATCTGGCACATGGAAACAGCATTTCCTCAACAAGATTATTTCAGACAAAAGAATAACAAAAGACTTTTTAAACCAGCGGTGAGCTGGCTAACAATATTTTATGTAGCGCTGTCTATGAAGTAAAGATCAGATACAAAATTGATGCTATCACCTTTTTCCTCCAGAAATGTATGCTTCTTTAGATAAACCTGTTTCAATGTGTATTTCTGCAGGTCCTCAGGGTAATCTTTCATCTCTCATTTGTTCATTTTGAGATGAGTCCAGAAGCAAATCATGCATGTGCACACTCCTCAAGTTATGAGGTCGTAAATAAAAGTCTGATCCAGACATGASTTTCCCATT